GACGCGGTTACCGCGGCATGAACAAAACGCGGTGATCGTCCATTTTTAGGCTGATAAACGTTGCAACTCGCGGTTTCGTCAAATCGGGGGGAGGAGGAGACTACAGTCGGTCGGCAACGTCATCGAGTCCCTCATCAATTCCACGCCGTGTAGGCAACAATCTCCCATGCTCGGCGACAATAGTAACGCATGGCTTTCGAGCTCGGATCGTGCGAGGGTCGAGGAAACGCGTACTGATACCAACCGCCGCGAGCAATTTTCAATTAATGTAAAACATGGCCTCGCGATACAGTACGGCGAGTTCCGGCGAAATTGGCGGCCTCGATAAACTCGGAGAACCGATGATTTATGGAGTCCATCGAACGTGTACCGAACATTGCATTTCAGATAACAGGCAGAATGGAAGGGCGAATCTCGCGTGTGAGCATTAAGGGCGCTCGCTAGCCAACGTTAGTTGTCATACTTGTATAATAGCGAATTCGGTTGCTTGCACTAGTGCGCACCGGGTGCACATTAATTCTTGTTCACAGTGAGTTCTTATATTTAAGGATCGTCTTAAATATCTCTTGAAATTTTTTGGCAAAATACTTTTTCAACGTTTATTTAAGACAAAGTTAAATAAAAATTGACTATAATCAGGCCTTAGTGTGCCCTCAGTGCGCACTAGCGCAAGCAATCGAGTTCGCTATAATACTACGTTAAAAAATGTTCAGGCCGCTTATAAGTAATGCCTTTTCGAAATCTTATTGAAATCTCGAATTAATCGTTATTGTCTCCTTCATTCACGACCTTTAATTTTCCAATAAACCTCATAAATACAAGCATGAGATCGGACCTGGCATCCATTAACTGTAAATCAACATGTTCGCACTTCGGAGCCACGTGTCATCCCTACAAAGTACCACATGTAAATCGAATTTAGAGGGTGTGAGGAAGACAAGAGACTGAACTCGGTCCGCAGAAGTACGTTGTCCATTCCCTCGGACAGAGCTGTTGACGATCAACCTGTCGAACTGATCGCGATAGGCTCGACGAGACGATCGTGAGCAAGCAATCCTTCGGATGTGTCGGACCGATGCTCGCGCGACGAGAGGACGAATTTCCTCCTTACGCGACTCCCTCCCCGAGTATCGTGAGGCACCTCCCACGTATGTCCATTGCGGATCCACGATGTTCGTGCGGACGAAACCAGCTTGCTGGATATCCTTCTTCGTGTACATAGTGTATATCTAAGGAACACGCGCCGCATAATGTACAGACGCCTTCGGTTAGCGTAAGAATAAGCGATCGGCAGCTCGATCTCGGCCCCTAAACCGAGACCTCTGACAGATTTCGAGAGGTACCAGCTGTCCTCGCGAGATGAGGGTCCTCGAGCGGGATCGAGCGTGAGTTTGCCTCGTTTCGGTGCGCGGACTGGGCTCACCCCGGTGTGCCATCCCGAGAAGTCTCGTTGATTCGCTCGGTTTCTCTTTTCTTTTTAGCGTTCAGATCTAAACAGACCTTGCCCAAGTAGCTCGGAATTGAACGAAGACGGAATCGCAGGGATCCGGGAACTGTTGACCAAGGGGTGACCGACGCTCGTAGTCGGTACCCAGGAAGTTAGGACAGGTCGAGGGGTGGTCCCAGTCCGTCCACACCTACCGAGACGAGGCGAGAGATGGAAGATACGCGACGACGGTCGCGAGGAAACAGGCGTCTCGTTAGACTGAAGCACGCGAGGACGGACGGCACCGTCGGCCGTTCTCGCGTCCACGGGGCCGCGCTGGCAAAAAAAAGAAAAGAAAAATTACGGAGAGCGTGGATTTAATGCGTGCCGGGTGCGAGCGCGGCTCCGCCCCCGCGACTCTCAGACTCGAGCGTGTGTGTCGAGGTGGAATTTTTATCGAGCGTAGAGAAGCTTAAGTGCGAGCGAGCGAGCGAGCGAACGCATGTAGACGTGTGCGTGCGTGTGCATATATGTAAGAGAGTGAGAGAGGTAAAAAAAATATATAACGATTATATATAGGGTACATGAGAGATGTAAGAGAGTAGCGAATCACGTGCGTCGACTGCCTTGTACAAGCATAATGCATGCGTGTGTGGGTGTGCGTGCGTGCGTGCGTGCGTGCGTGCGTGCGTATAGACTCCGTATCGATGTATTTTATTGTAAAGAAATAAGACAAAGAATTTTAGGCGTGCGGCAGACTTCGATTTTTGTAGAGAAATTGTATAACTCGCTGATAACTTATCTCTTAGGGAAATGAAGAATTCATGATTGTGTGTTGACCGCGATCGCTAAATGCTGATAAAAGCGCGACCAGAGGGTGAACTCGTCCTTGAGATATGAACGATTTATAAAGACGAGTCGCTAGGACGACAAAGGGAAGGACAAGAGGAAAAGGGGAAAAAAAAAGAAAAAAAACCGAGGCGGCACGTAATGCGTTGATTCTAAATAATTAAGTGGCGTTAAGTGACTGTAAATTCTGAAGCTAGAACGCTATTTGTTTACTAAGGTAATGGTAGCCAGTGATGCGCGATAAAGCTGGGGGGGGGGGGAGAAAAAGGGCGACAGTGGAGCGGAGGAGGGGCGCAGGGGCGAGATCCCAGAGAGCGGGTAAATAGGAGGAGCGAGACGTATAATTACGTATGCATATGCAACTATATATATACATATGTATCTATAAACTACATAATGTTTGTTCAGTAACTACTATCGTCATCCATTTTATATATATTATGCGATTATTGATTATTAATTATATTATTTTATTACTATCGTCAGTGTGACGCGTAAGGTAGAGAGAAAGAGAGAGATAGGGAGGGGGGGGCGGGCAAAAAAGAAGAGATAACGGCGGTGCGAGAAAGTTTATCGGGCAGCGTTTCGCAAATGCCAAATCAAAAGATACGGCCGATGATGCGTTTCATATAGCGGTGGAGAAAAAGGAAGAAGATATTAAATAAAACGAAGGGATGGGGGGGGGGGGGAGAGCGGGGCAAAACTCAATGCATCCATTTTGCCGAACGTAAGCGAAACCGCGATAGAGAGGCGCGCGCGCGCGCACTTTATGAAAGCGCGAGGGTACACGTGTGCATGTGTGCGTGTGCGCGTGTGTATGCGAGCGTGTTTATGTGAAACGCGTGCATGCGATTGAATGAGAGAAATAAAAAGTGATCCGCCTCAGTTTTAGTGGGGCGCCCGGCGGACGAAGGGGTGGGCTTTAAAAGAAATAAATGCTGGTGCTGCTCTGTGATTTTTGTAAAAAAGAAAAGGCAAGAGTAGAGGACCCGAAGGAGAAAGAGAGAGTGCACGAAACGATCGAGGGACCCGATATTCTACGGGATCTCCATGAGTATAAAAAAACTAAAAAAAAAGAGCGAAAAAGAATGGAAGCAACACGCAGAGAGATAGCTTGAGTACCTGGACCCTGCCCTGGCCCGCGCCTGCCTCCGTAAGCGGAGGTAGTGCAAAGGAAAGAGAGAGAGAGAGAGAGAGAGAGAGAGAGAGAGAGAGAGAGAGAGAGAGAGAGAGAGAGAATGTGTGAGATTAAATCAAAAGTGCGCCGCGCCGTTTTACTCAATTGTACAGGCTGTAAAATGTATTCGCTTTCAGTAAGCAAGGAAAAAAAAAGAATTTTAATATAGATCGTTAATCGCTAATTATATAGGGGATACACGTAGAGGGAGAAAGAGAGAGGGAGAGAAGGAGAGAGTCGCCGTCGTCGTCGTCTCTCGTAAGCTCAAAGAGCTTTATTGCACCTACACGCGAATCGCACATTACCGGAGGGACGGGTTTACAGCTTTGTGGTTCACGTAGACGGTCCTTGCCCCCCTCGTGCTCCTCCTGCCGGCCCCGCTCGCCCTGCGGGAATGGGAAACCCCCCTCCTGGGGGACGCGCAAGCTCGCCCAAGTGTAATATGGAGCGTATGTAATTAGCAATTGGAGACAACCTCCGTGTCCGAGAATACGACACAGTAGCGAGTACTACGCATATTTGCCAGGACGTTGCATAATCGATCGTGAGAGTATCGTGAGAGAAAGCGAGAAAGTAAGGGACGAAGAGGAAGAGTAATTGAAAGATCGTATAAGACGAAAGGGTGAATAGATGCGCGTGTCATGTATGTATGTATAAGCAAAGTGTGAGAGAGGATAGAAGTGAATGGGGTAAACGATGCTAAGAGAACTGAGACATATAACATAATAAACAAGGACCCTTATTCTCGTCTCCTTTTTTTAGAATGATAAAAATAGTGAGTCGTTACGCTTTATATATTATACATCTCGAGTATATGAATATACGAGTAAAAAAAAACATAACGTACAGAGAAGCAGGTACAGAAGAAGAAAAAAAAACATGCAGGCATCTTGTCGTTAAATTGTAAGATATTGTGTTCAAACTCCAGAATGTACTCTGATCCCCCTTCCTCAGACTACTATATATTAAATATATTGTGCACTATGCTCCAACTTGTCCATACAAATAAAGATATTCAAAAATCTCAAACATCTCCGCCTGTACTTTCTTTCTCGCCGTCTTGGTTTTTCGCGAGATCGCGAGAGACGAAGTTAAGAAGGTGCGCGGTTGTTATGTATATTCAGAGGACGAAGCGAGTAAAGTGGACGGCATGAAAATATTGATGGGTAGATAAAATTAAAAAGCGTATATCCTACAAATTGCATACATGAAGGATCAGTGGCTTCTATGCGAAGTAACAGACTAAATTTAATCATCTGACTAGAGTCCTTTGTTCTTCAACATCATTGTCTTGTCTTGTCTTGTCTTTTCGGCGTGGCCGCTCTCAGGTTTCTCTCTGGTAAACATAAATTACCGATACCGAGTCGATAACTTACCGATCGATGGTATTCTGTGGAACACTGAAATTAAAAGAACATTTGTAAGATTCAATCAACGGAAATGCAATTGAGTGCCATTTCTCACTTAAATTCTATTTTCTTTATAGTTTGCAAATTTTTGAAAATAAAAATCTGCACTTTGAAAACCGTCGAGTCGAACAGTTACTTTATCAACCCTGCTGAGTGATCGAGGTTAGAACCCCATGTTTTCGTTGGCAGAGACCACTGATGCACTGTATGCAAAATATGAGTGAACCGCGTTGGTTTTTAACCTCGTCCTTTCAGAGCCTGAAAACCAAAGTTAGTTACACGCGAAATTTCAAGTAAGACTCTAATTTATACACTTTGCATAATGCATAGAAATAAATCTAACATTCGTTAAATCTACATTAAATTCAACAAATCATGTCGCAATTCGACGTTTTATTCTTCCGCGTAAGAATACACGAGCGTGTCGCACAACCGGGAGATTAGGTTATATTTATCTTTCAAATATGAAAGAAAAACAGATACAAGGATTACAAACACGTGTTTCGTAGACGACACGTTCATATGAATACAAATATCTGTTTTTTACAGGAGATTTTAAACTTTTCAGGAAGAAGTACAGTTTGTAAGAGATAATTTTACATAAGTAGACCATGGACGAGATTGATTACAAGTTGAGATCACAGAATCCTACTTTGATATCACACGTAAGTATGGCAAGAAAAATTGAATCGCATTGCTCTTGTTTATAACATAATTTACATTTTACGTTGCGATTGCACGGTTACTCTGCTTTCCCGCAGGCGATATCCAAGCTGATCGAGGTAATAGACAAGAAATTGGAAACGGAGGAAAAGAATATTTCAAAGGTAATTTTTCTTTTTCTATAATCGTGATTTCCTTAGTATAATATTTATCGTGCTGTCGTACGTTTCTTTTTCTCGTAGATATCAGAATTTAAATTGCTCTCGTCCAAATGCAACAGCGAGGATTCTATAGTCAGCACGTCCGCGTGCCAGGCGTTGGTTGTGCTTGGCGAGTCTGGATTATTGGACGTCAAGTCTGCACTAGCAACGTTCATGGCATTACTATCTTCCTCAAAGTATGTATGTACAATGATGGGCAGAATGGTTGCGACACTTTTTTATGAGTTTAGAAACTTGCATTTAGATTGAGGGTCGCATTCCAAAATCTCCGAGAAATAGTTCGCTCGATGGCCATTCCGAAACCGTTTTGAGCGTTTCCGATCTATTTCTCGAGTTCCTAAGTTCATTTAAAAGAATTCTCGCACCCATTCTGTCCATTACTGTACACTAGGACCGGTATCCAATTCTTATATTCAAGACCGTGAATTTATCTTAAGATCCGACTATGAATACCGGCCTAGGAGTCACTGATGCCTTCCTGTATGAATTTAGGCACATGTACGAGGTCTGTCCGGAAAGTATCCGACATTGTGCTCTAACCTTGTACCTGGTTGTGCTATTGTTAAAAAGAGCTATTCATCATTTACGGGAGACCTTTATGAGTGCCTCTGCCAGGCAGCACGGTCCTTCAGGTCTTCGGCCGACAACTGTACGCTGTTTAGTAAACATTGAATTTTATGCGCGTCGCATTTCACGATGACTGAACGCATCGAACAAAGAGTGTGCATTAAAATTTATCAAAAACTTGGCCATTCGTGTTCGGAAACCATCCACATGATCCGTAAAGTATATGGCGATGAATCCATGAGTGATACACAGATTAAAGAATGGTTTAAGCGCACATGTACATTTTTCATGTATGTATGCAAAATGTATGAATGTGTCGATATGTGCACAAATTCATGTGAAAAGGCATCAGTGATTCCTAGCGTACATGTTAAACAAGCTGTACGTATACAATGTGACATGACCCGTTTTATTTATATGTTTCAATAAATACTAACGAGATGAATTTTTATTTATCACAAATTTTAGAAATTATCAGGCAATCACCGTGGCAGTAAGTCGACTGTTGATATTAGATTGGTCGCACGATAAATGCAACGAATACACTCTCGAGGTTCCTACCCAGCACCCATTTATCGCGATTCTCACCCAGGAAAAGCTCAGCTGGAGATCCGTACTGAATCAAATGAAATTCATCATGCATTATCACGACAAACGGTACGCTCTTATCATCGGAATGATGTTGTCGCAGGCGTAGGAATATATTACATCATTTGCCTTTACCTTTGTAAATTGGAGTTTTCTCAGTTCTAAAGATTTACAAGGACAACTGTGGCAGAAACATTAAAGAGCCATTATTAAGCTTTGTTTCATTCGAATTTCAGAATTATGGAGCAGAGTGTGAAGCTATTACGACCCGTATTCGTGCACATATTGTGCAATCCTTCCATGGATTCGTGCGAGAGTTGCAAACGGGAGGCGTGGCAGCTTGTAATCAAATCTAGCAGCACTACGGATTTGCGAACGGAGATCTTACTCTGGTTGTGCACCAATCGAGCGGACACTTGCGTCGATGCGAACTGCCGGGTTCTCGAGCTCGCGGAAATGGCCTTGTTGAAAAGAGACGAGGAGTTTTGTACCGCGTTAGTGCCTTTCATCGTGTCTCTGACAATACAGTTGTTGGAATATGGTCATGAACCTATGCAAAATTTTTGCGCGATACTGGATCTCTTTGAATACTGTTGCAGCTACGTAGGAAATATTACGGTAATTTTGATGGCAGAAATAATTTTGATATGTCCAGCAGCTTACTTGCTTGACGCCCTCCAAATATGTAAGTATATTTATATTGAGACATAAAATTCTGACATAATAAGTTCGCATAGTTTTCTTAAGGCAGTGGTGTCACTTTAAAAGATTACAAATTTTAATTTCGACCGCTTTGACGCGACAGGTACAGTTGTCGTGGACAGAATGCCGTGCCACGCTATATTGTTAAACGCGTTAGCTGCATCCTTGTTAAAGTGGTTAGCCTATCCGTCGTTATTGTGCTCCGGCGCGTTAGCGACAGCGAAAGAATTGTTAATCAAGATAATGTCGCAGAAGAAAACGGATAGTGGTAACGGTACTGTTTCAAATAAGATGCTGCTCGTATTCGGCTATAGCAATAGATACATCCAATTTTATATGGAACTCATCCGCAGTCTATATTCTCTGAAAGATGACACTCTTTCATGGCTGGATAGCTTGTCGCTCGCGCCAGTAGATCTGAGATACATGTGTAAACTGGTTCTATGCGGTATCTTCCTGCGTAGCGACGAACCCCAGGTAGTGCAGAAGGTCTGCCACATTCTCGTGCAGATAACGAAGGAGATCAACTCCTTCGCGTCGCACGTGCTGTCCCTGTTGCTGCACAAGTTAATTAAGACCCGCGACAGCTGCACGTTGAAGTACCTGCTGCTGACTGTCCCGGAGTTCGTCATGACCAAGGAAAATCTACCGATTGTCATTCACACGTTGAATACGCTACTGAATAGCGGCAAGCCGCTGAAATATTTTGCGATCCCACTTTATCTGAAGGCATTGGAGAAGGAGCCGCGCTGCTACCGCTTCCTATCCACCGCCCTGATGGACACCATGGAGAAAGATCGTAGCTGGCACGCGCAAGTGACGTGCGCTCGGGCGATAAAGAACGTTTGCGAGAACCGGCCCGAGCACGGCGAGGAACTCGTGCCGTTGCTGTCGCAAATCCTGAATCAATGCGTCGACCTGAACAGCGGCGCGGCCAGTGCGCTCGCGCTCGACAGCATCTCGGTCCTATGCAAGTCCGCGGTGATAGGTACTTTGCACCTTGTATCTTTGAACTTTTTTTCTTGAAAGACGTCATACAATTCTTGGTCACTCTCGTGTGTTTTGTATAATTCTCTATAAAAGTCGCCATTTTCCACGATTAACGATTGGACAATTTTATTCGACAGGCATTTTTTCCACGTGGCAGGTGTTAGCGCCGAAGATGCGCAAGGAGAAGCGCACGGTGGTCCTGGAAAGTCTGTGCAATCTCTTTGCCAACATACCCTCGTACTTGTTTCGTACGAGCGACGACCACGACAGATTCATCGCCGACGTCATGACACAATTGTGGGGCTACACCGTCTGCGACGACACGAGGGTCGCGAGAGCGGCGTTCAAGGCGTTAAAGTCTTACCACGTGGAACAAATTCCAGTGGGTGTTTTTACCCCAAACTTCCAATTGGACGTCGTACAGCACGCATCCAGGAAAACGGATCGTGTAACTACGTCCGAGTTGCAGCACATACCGGGGATTTTGTGGATCCAGATGCTGAAAAAGGTGAACAGGAACGTCCTCTCGGCGGCCGGGGATCTTCTCATTTGCTTTATTGGGGCCGAATTGAGCGGCTTCAGGTCGCAAATATATACTTGGCCGCAAGGAGAACCGCAAAACTGGAAATACTTGCCAGAGAGAAGTGTGATAAGGGCCGTCGGCGAGTATCTCAGACGAGGCGACAAGGAGGACCGGAATAATTATGTAATCGTGGAATGTCTGCGCATATTCGCTCATAAGCACAAGAAGCCGTTGCCAAACGTAAAGTGGGACTTCCTAAAGGAAATCATGCAGATATCGGAGGAGGCTCGGGAGTATAGCTTGTCCATCGCGAGTCGTCAATGTCACGTTTCGCTGTCGGCGAAATTGCTGACAGAAAGCTTCTTATCTATGTATACGTCCACGTCAGAAGCGGGTCGATTATTGCTGGACGAGAAACACTTGGTGCTTTACTCGAATCTGGAGGAACTGTGCCAGGCTATTCAGCCGAATAACTTGAAAAACTTTCTCGAAACTTCTGTACATTATGCCATTGACGGGATCTTATTGAATGACAAAAGGTCTCTTCACCTGTTCAATCACATTATGTCGTGTTATGCCACCGCTTTAAAAAACGACACGATACAAATGGGAAATCGCACGCTGCTAATCACGATACTGGAAGAGATATTGGGCAACGTCGACTTGACGTCCAAACATTTCGAGAAATATTTTGAGGCTGTGATGGAATTGTTGGACAAGGATGTCGAGAGAATGACATCGCCTGGCATCTGGTGGGTAGTGACGCCGGAAAAACTGAAAACCGCCATCGCCATTAGAGCTCAGTCAGCTTTCAAGGGAGATATCGCCGCGCCGTTCACCTGGCTGAATGAACTTGTCAACGTGACAGAGTTTAATCCAGAGCAAGTATTCATAATAATTTCATAATAGATCTAATGCTCGACTAAAGTTGCCTAATAAGTTTTTCTGTCCTTTACAGAATGCGAAAGTATTTGTTGAAAAGTATACAGAAAGTGCAGGCTGACGTGAGATCGGAGAGCTCCTGCGATTTTGAAATACAAAAAGACTGGATTTTAGATTTTATAAGACACATCGACACGCTTATGGTAGAGGCATCAGATGAGAAGAACAATATAGTCTTTTACTGTGATATTTTATTCATCTTGGTCATCTGCTTGTCCGGCATGGAGTGTCTCCTGCCGGAAAAAGAATTGCTAATCACTTCGCAAGACGTTAGAATAAGATTATTTCCACAGGCGATCTCTATGCTCGTCGATCGACAAATTTGGAAGTCCATAACACGCCAGGTATGTGTAAATTTGTCCTCTTGTCAGCTACAGACGCTTTACAAAGAGCTATAATCTCTTAATTTTTAACAGTTAAAAAAACATTACATTTACAATTGCGGTGGAACTTTTCGTCGCGAAACGAGCAATATGCTATTATACACAAATATACATTAAATCGTATTGTTAATCTTCTAGATTATGAAATGGCTGAATCACATGAGGAGCAGTTCTGTACCTGATGTATATATACTTGCATTTCAAAGCGCATTGATCTTGTTAAGGCATGAAGAAGACTATATTTCGGAATGGAAAAATTATTTGTCAGTCAAAACTCGTACTCAGATATAAACGAAAGAGCGATACGTTTACGTAGGAAATATTTTTATGTATAAAAGAATGGAAGTTCTTGCGTTAAACTGATTAAAGCTATACGGCACACAATACTAATTTTTTATACCGTTGGCTTTACTTATTTGCATTACTCAGCCTTGAATTTCACTAACGATCGATCTTATAATATGATTGTAATAAACATCTGTAAATACACACCCGACATCCTACTTTAATGTCTATATCTTATCGCTAATAAAGTAACAATTATATCAAGCTTTGACAAGTATACACACACACCTAGGTCCATATCCTTATTACGTAATTAACACTGAATTCGTTAAATTGTTAAAAATGTCTATATTTAAACAGCGACGCGTAGAAAAAGATATGCTGACTCGTTATCGTTAATCGAGAGATAAACGTTTAAAAAAGAGGAAAGAACAACTTTCTATTATCTTTCAATTACTGCAGACATTTTTCCTGAATTTTACTAGAGATATGTAGATCTATGTGCGGCTGAGAGTGTATGTAAAATTTAGTATTGAATCATTCGTGTGGAGTCAATCGGGAAGAGAACGTACGATTATCGCCTTCCGACTGTCGTCTGAGAAACTTACGCACGACGAGAAACGGACGCTTTAAAAAGATTCTACCACTAATTTTCTAATTCGGCGACTCCTACGACACACCGTTACTTCCTCTGTACATCCAGTACTCGTTAAAATACTCTTCAAGCGATGCCGGTGCAACGAGCGCGAAAAGTTCTATCTTATAAGGCTGATCTTGTATAAATGTAAATGTCATATAAATATCAGAACAAATCACAGAAAGAAACGTACTTGCTCGTTGTATACAAAATATATGTCGTTCGATACGCAAGTTGAATAGAGTGGCGAGCTCAGGTGCACTTATTAGTAAAAGTAAAAATGCATATTAATAATTCTCCCCTAACTAAATCGGACGTTCCGTTTGCGCGTAGTCTAATAGAAATTATTTCAGCGTCGTATGTCCTATCTACAATTGCCTCGTCACATATGCTGTATGTGACGGCACTCATAATGCTAAACGGACGTCTCGCTATTGTCCAGCGTCATTACCGTCAGAGTGTTGGGTCTCGTGCCAGTCAGGATTTGCTCCTCGGGCGGGCGCATCCTGGGCTCCAGAATGTTCCTCTTCGTCTCCACGCTCTTCTTGATCGGCGTGCGACTAGGGCTGGACTTCCTGCTGCTCGGATACGACTTCAGCAAACGTGCCCTGAGGAATTAATAAGTCACAAGTCTCCGTACCTGTCGACATCCATTCTTTTTTCCCGCGAGACTCGGGGCAACATTTAGAGCACTCGAGTGTCGTTCTTCCACTTGGAAGACTAGCGGGCGTTCGAATCGAGTAAGTCGCACTTACGCGTCCATTAGCTTGAGAAACAGGCGAGTGTACACCTGATACTCCTCGTCGCCGAATTCGGTGGGGTCGTGCCTCGCGTGTTCGTACAAATCACAGAACTGGTGAATCAAACGCTGGCCGCTGCCGTTCAGCGGTGTGGCGAGCGTGGTGAGCAAATACGCCCTGAGATTCTCCGAGGGGTGTCTCTTCAGACAGTTGTCGTACCTCGTGATCTCTGCCTCTGCAAACGCAAACGAGGGCGTGAGGACTGAACGGAGCCTCGACTCACGGGCGGCAACTCACCCAGGGTTCTCACGTCGTCGACCGCCTTCAATCTGTAATAGTGCGGCGGGGCCTGGCCGCCCGGGGTCAGGATGTACCTGGGGTCGCTGATCAGCTGCGGCTCGTACTGGATCCTAGGTATCACCTCTATCCGCCGCTCTATCTCCTTCTTCAGGGACTGAAAGCCACTTTCAAGCACGTTCAAGCGACAATATAGCGATACAGTCGGGCTAACCTCAAAATTATTACCCTCCACAAAACGCACCTTCTTCGCGTCGTGCCCCACGGGGATGTGCGGGCCCCGACGGGACCTCAGGGCGAACCTCATGATCTGCCGCTTCGCGAAGATGAATAGCAGGAGTATCGTCAGAACGCCCGCCGCTATAAATATCACTATGGTCACACCGGACAGCTCCTGTGTCATTCTTGCGCGGCGATCGGCGCGGCCTGCGCCTCCGCGGGTCTTTAACTGTCAGCCGGGCGCGAGTCTTGACGCGCGAGAACCGTACGCCGCCGCGGGACAACCACGCGAGCTGTCATTCGAACTTTCGAATGGGGAGGGAAAAAAAACCTCCGCGCTCAGCTGATCGGCGCGCGGAGTCGTATCTCGCGCGCATCGCCTTCCGTCCAATTCGTTTTCGTTATTAATATAAGTTTCTCTTACCGAACACATGGATGGATTCGCAAATTGAATATTCACAGAGAATTACGCGGTCATTGGTGTAAAATTAAAGGGCATCAAACTATGATCAGTTATGAGACGGTTCTTTCATTTTACACTATATAATGACCGCGTAATTCTCCGTAAATATTTAATTTGCGAGTCCATCCGCGTGAAAAATCGATTATCAGTTTTACGTCCTTTAATTCTACACTAATGACTGCGTAATTCTCCGTAGATATTTAATTTGCGAATCCATCCATGTATTAAATTGAATTTATCTCTTCTTTACACCGAGGACGGTCCAATAAGGACCGAAACGTATGTATGCAAGTGTGATTAAAATTATTTTACTAAGTGAATCGATGTACAGTCTTTTTCCAACCTGTCCTGCGTGCCGTTAAATTTAATTGGCCACCTCCACCTGTGCCAGGTCCTAAATGGCTTTTACGTTTCAAATTGATTTATATCTTCAAGGACCTAGCTAAAATTTAAACGTCCTGTATTCAACTCATGATAAGAAAACTACTGCCTTTTATGATTAAAAAACTAGATTTTGGATAAAGTTTTGTAAAAGGAATAATCGTCTCAGAATCTCGTCAGGATTATATCTTTTCAAGGACCAGGGTTGTTTCCTATCACCTGTATACATACGTACGTTTTATTGCATTTTATTGCATTATGGCTACATTGTTACATTGCAATATTGTTGCAGTCTTGCATTTTCATATTGCTGCGTAGTTGCATTGCAATATTGCTGCACTGTTGCATTTAAATATTGCTGAAGGCGGATATTCTAATGTTGCTACAATGTAGCTACAATATTGCAGCAACATTTCGCAATTTTGCTGCAATGATGCAATCTTTCAAAATGTCTCTTGCAACGTTGCTGCAATATTTCCGTGCTGTATGGGTAGTTGTAATTGCTAATATCAAATATAAATACAAAGAGATACACTTGAAAATTATTACAAGGATCAAGTCCTAATTTTACAAGACTTTAATTCTCAAATATATATACAAGTTTGCTAATCGCGGAGGAAACTAGACGATTGTTTGCGTCGTTATACATGTGATTTAGCGATTACGTCCTTCTTAAAATATTTTCCATGGGTTTCTTGAATAACGTTTCATTCACGGCGGCGACTTCGGTCATTATACTTTTCTGCTCTTCAGATAGCGTTGTATTGGTTTTTAAGAACGACAGCACGAGCTTGCCAAAGTTCTTATCTTTGGAATAACAAAGTGCCTTCCCCAAGAACAACTTGACAACTTTATCGGTCGTGTTGTGGTCCAGCCTTACGGATAAAAAATTTTGCAATATAGATATATGCCACAATTTCAATTCCTGAACATGTGCGAGAAACTCCCTGCAAAAAAATACACGAGTCATTAAATTCACTTGTTACTTTTGGCACAATTTCCATTTTCAGAATGAAATAAAATTACATATATTCAAATATAAAACAGTTTTCCTAATTTAACCCTTAGTACTTAAGGAAAAATTAATCTGTACATTATTAAACTTTGCATCCTGAATCTCATAAATGAACTTGGGAGTATTTTATCACAGAACTTAATATTAGTAAAGAATATCAATATGTATTCTGCACTGAATGAAGATATACCTTGAAAATACGTTATATAAATTTGAAAAATGAATAACATGCATACAGAAACAGATTAATTTTCACCTGAATGGTATAAAATACTTATGAATCTAGAATTGAAATTACGCGTCGCATGACAGCGTCGAAACGTACTGTACGAGAATTGCTTTCCTCTGCTGGTCAAACGTGTTCACAATGGTGGTGACCAACGTTACGTCTTTCAGCTCGGTATTGAGAAGAGGAACAAATAGGAATTGTTGAACCTCGTCAGGAAATATTTTTATGCACTCGACAATAGCGGATGACAATAAACGAGACGGCTCCTCGAGTTCGACTATCTGCAAGCGCAGTGCGAGTCAGTGAACGACGTATGGGAAGAAAGTATCTGGTGAAAATGAGTAAAATGCCATTGGCACCTTCGGCAGCAACAGGTGCGTGCAAAGTGTACTGAGATACTTCATTTTCTGCTCGACAGTCGCATCGCTCATCGACTGACACAGATTGTAGGTGCCCTTGGGACTCAATTTCCGTCGCATCTCGTTCACCAGCGGGACAAGATCTTCGTCGGCCAGGCCTTCCAACTGGGCAAAGTCCAGCCTGCCGTTATTTCGTTCCAAGCTCTCGCAGGCGCACTCCAAGATATCACACCTCTGCGGTAATGCGGCAGCGGGTCTGCTCGGTTCTATCATTCTCTCGGATTGTGTGAAGTAAAATTGAGTGGACTGCAGTGGCACCGATTCGTCACACGTCACTTGAGGCTCGCTGTTGTTTATCGGCTCATCGGTACCGTCGCTATCTTCATCTTCATCTTCACTTTCGGAACACTTTTCTTCTTCATTCTACATTGAAACATGAATTTGTGGTATCAGATTATTTGCATACACTCATATGTATGTAACATAATATGTAATTATTTGAAACGTCAAGTAGCTTAATTTAGCGACTTCTTGTTCCCGTAATTAGTTCATATTTGTAAGACAGGCCGCATGTCGGTTTAATAATTAAATAATCATTACGTAGAGACTTCGTTCGGAGACTTCAATTCACAACATGAGCGTTGACACGTGCAATTCTAACCTGTCCCGCTATAATTTTCCACATCGGATTAGCCTGGGCGATGTTATCCTTCATCGCCTCCCTGATAGATTCGAGCCTCGCCGCGGTTTCTTCCGACAGCGTGTACTTTTGGAAAAGGACCTCCGAATCCGAGTCTTCCCGCATCATCTTGCTCGCGTTGCGTCGCCTCGCACATGTTCGCTCGCGACGCCCGCATGTTTTCCTCCTGCAATATCGTTCGGAGCAGTGGCGCAACTGGACCTACTGCCTTCCCTCGGTGGGGAATGTCGTTTTTCAAGATATATATTTTCCTATCGAGAATTCAGTCCGGAGTTTAGAACAGGCTAGAAATAAAAATGTTGGGAAAAACGTATTTACCTACACCTGTGCAGAGACAAGCACAGGGAATAGATAAAATTATTTATAGAAGAGTTTCAGTTGAAGTTTCCTTTTACCTTTGTCTAGTTTCTGGAATTGGACAAAGATAAAAACTTAGCTAAACCGGAATTAAAATTAATCCGATTAAAAATAATTACATTGCAGTTATATAATAATTATATTTAATATTTATATATTTTCGCAAATACAATTCCCAGGAATATCAAGTCCCTGAATTAATTTTAAATAAAACTAAACGAAAATTCACTGAGAATATATTTCGTTTAGTTTTATTTAAAATTAATTCAAGAACTTGATATTCCTCGGAATTGTAAAAGTTTATAAAAGATAGGTGTAATGAAAACAGATAACAATTTTCAATAAAGCTCTTTTAATAATATATTATTATAAAGTGTATAAATATTATAACATCTATATATACATTAAGTTATCATGATTGATATATGAAAATAAATTTCATACCTTTTGCATAATATAAGGCGGTATTATTACATATATACCGAAAATACATATTCAAAGAAACGAAAAACATATTGCTAACATTTGGCGAATGTGATAACGATTTTCTAACATTTTGAAAAATGCCTGGCGGTTTTACCGAAAATACATATTCAAAGAAACAGAAATATATTGCTAATATTTTGCAAACGTGATAACGAATTTCGAACATTTTACAAAATGTCAGGCGGTGTTACCGAAAATACATAATATTTAAAGCGGAAAACATATTTCTAATATTTAGCAGAATGAACCATGTGAAAACAAATTTCATACATTTTGCATTATATAAGGCGGTATTACCAAAAATACATATTCAAAGAAACGGAAAACATATATTGCTAACATTTGGCGAATGTAATAATGATTTTCTAACATTTTGAAAAATGTCTAGCGGTTTTACCGAAAATACTTATTCAAAGAAACGGAAATATATTGCTAACATTTTGCAAACGTGATAACGAATTTCAAACATTTTGCAAAATGTCAGGCGTTTTTACCGAAAATACATAATATTTAACGAAACGGAAAATATTTAACATATTTCTAATATGTTGCAGAATGTCAAGCGCAGTGTAACGGAAAATACATGTTTTTAAAGAAACGGAACCGTGTGAAAACGTATTTCTAACTTTTTACAGACTGTCAGGCGCAGTGTTATGGAAAAGACATGATTATATAAACGGACAACATATTTTTAACATTTTGCAGAATGAAACGTATGAAAACGAATTTCTTTCATTTTGCAAAATGTCAGACGGAGTTACCGAAAATATATCATATTTAAAAAAACGGAAATAATATTTCTAACATTTTACAGAATGGACAATGTAAAACCAAATTTCCAATATTTTGCAGAATGTCAGTCGCAGTGTGACCAAAAATATACATTTAAAAATACAGAATCACACAAGAAATTTGAAACATTCAAATACTTCAAACATTCTGCATTCTGCAAAACGTTAATTATGTTCAAGGACATTGTCCAAACCAAATTATATTATAAAAGACCAAGAGAATATTAGAAAAAACCAAAACTTTGCAGAATGTTAGAAATAAGTTTGCACTTTACAAAATGACAATGTATACTCTGAGATCTCGCAAAATAAAAGAAAGATAACATTCAGGTAACCGTAGTAAACTCGATTTAAAAATCCCATTGGTGCAGACTCTGCCACCCAAGAGTGACAGTCCAGCGTAGCCAGCGCGGACTCTGTTCCCAAAAAAGATAGTCCCAGCACCCACTAGCGTAGCCAGTGCGGACTCTACCTTTAAAAGGAAACAGTCCCAGCACCCACTGACGTAGCCAGTGCGGACTCTGTTCCCAAAAAAGATAGTCCCAGCACCCACTAGCGTAGCCAGTGCGGACTCTATCTTTAAAAGGAAACAGTCCCAGCACCCACTGGCTTGTTTTATAACCATCACCGGTACTGTTTCCTTCAGATGACAGAATCCGCACCAGTGAAATCCTTTACATCGAGTTTACAGTGGTAATATATATAAATATATACATGCATATATAATGCAACTTTTATTTTTAGTTACTTAACTCTAGAGCACCCAAAAAGAGCCAATCTTTGATGATGTTTTCAAGAACATTTATGTTTATTCAGTTTATTATATTCCTGAGAAAGTCACTGATGTTTGGCTTTTTTTCTTTGGAGTGGACTCTAGAGTGTTGTAACCGCTTAAGTGTTAATTGTAAAAGTAAAGCATTTCTTATTTATAGGAGCTTGCAGGAGAAAATTGGATTTCCCAAGGAGATAATCAATTATATTACCTACGGTACAGTAATACAGGACGTACAAAATTCCAATATCGCGAGAGATGTCGCCGTTGCCGCGGGATATAGCAATCGAATCCCTGCACATACTGTAACCATGGCATGCATTAGCAGCAATCAGGCTGCTACCACTGGTATAGGTTTAATCTTGGGTGGCAGTTGCGACGCTATTGTGGCAGGTGGGGTGGAATTTATGTCCGATATTCCAATTCGGCATAGTCGACCCATGAGATCTCTAATGCTACAGATGAACAAGGCAAAAACTTTGCCAGAAAGGCTAGCTCTCTTGGCCAGTATCAGACCACAAACGCCGAAAATTGTATAAAATCGAGATACAACCTTGCGAAAGAGATCAGTGGCTATTTGCGTTATGTAACGATATTAAGTATTTTACTTGTCCGCCAGCCGCACTGGCCGAGTCAAGTAAAACTGTATGTGCAAAACTGTATGTGCAGGGGTATGTTCGCTATATCCCGCGGCAATGGCGGCATCTCTCGCGATATTGGGTTGGCTAATGCTTTGGTTTGATACGCCGTCGAACTCGAAAATTTTCATTATCCCCAGTAAGTCGAAGAGAAATAGCTCATCGACAGCTTATGCTTACTTTGAGGTAGCCCGAAATCATACCTTCGGTATTGAGTACGATGGTCCTAGAAGCAGTTGATCCACCGGATCTTGAGAGACATACGTAAAGTTACGCATGTATGCCTTGGGTTTCAAACCAAGTTGTAGAGCTTTGTCCTCGCGCATTATCAATGCTGCTGATGCACCGTCGGTCAAGAAAGAGGAATTTCCCGCAGTGACGGTTCCGTAAGGTTTAACAAACGCGGGTTTCAACTTTGCCAGTTGTTCTTCTGTAGATACGCGAATACCGTTGTCTTTATCGACGACTTTATCAACGTTCGGCACTACAATGCAGAAATGTAAAACGAAACGTGTAAGTGTACAATGTTCAATATCGTAGGAATTAAATTAACCATTAACTTAACTAAATAATAAGTTAGTATGGCTCATATGTGTTAAACACAAATTTCAAAGAATTTAAAGGACTCAGAGCTGTGACAGGGTGGCAGTGTCTAAATATTCTATTCTAAGTTTATTGCGAAAAAACTTAACTAAATAAATTAACCATAACCGACACTGGTGGGGCATCCCATAAACGTATCCCACCGATAGTTGGTGCAATTTTTTTATATCATTCCTTTTGTAGAGAAGGTAGATTTCAGTACTTTGTTTACCGAAATTTTGTTCATTATATATTTATTCTTTCTGCGCGTATACTTTGCTTTTTGTACCGTTTTTTAAAAAGGTAATTTTGTTAAGATATGTATTGATACTATGATAAGTCGCCAGTGGTAATTAAAGGAGATAATGCTGGAGTCGACCAATCCGGCAAATTTATTAATTAAACGTACAACGTTTCGGCCATGGGTTTTGGCCCTTTTCAAGCAGAATATTTGGTTGGAACGCCATCAAATCTAGTTAAACACTTTGTTTAGCCTTCGCAACGAGAAGACATGCGATCCTCGTCTTGTCAAACGCTTACCATTACACTACGTGTTTAACTAGATTCGATGGCGTTCCAAACAAAATATTCTGCTTGAAAAGGGCCAAAACCCCTGTGTTAAATTAATTTGCGTTGTACGTTTAATTAATAAATTTGCCAGATTGGTCGACTCCAGTATTATCTCCTTTGTTAAGATATTTTTCACATAGGCAACGTTGTTCACTTCCATGTATTCTCAACGTCGGTCCGCGTCTCACAATAGGAGGACGCGCACCGCGGACAAGTTCGTAAATGGAGATACCGTTTGTGTTTAGGGTAAGTTTGTGTCCCGCTCCAGATCTGACCAGTGTAGTTAACGGTTAATAATATAAATTAAATATTGAAATATTCGTATACCTTGTAAGGTACTACATCCGACAGTAATCCCTGTTGCTGTGCTCGCGTAGCTAAAGTGTGCGAACGCAATGCGTAATCGTCTTGCTCTTTGCGTGTAACGCCAAACGCTGCTGCTAAACGATCGCCGCTGTGTCCCATAGTTTCACCGCTTGAAAACTCTGCCACAGCTGGTAGCTATACAAATGTAAAAATGTATACATACAGTGTCCCGAAATTCGGGGATAAGATTGCAGCACGAGAAGTTGTAAAAAATTAAGTAATGAAAGTGCGTTCCATGTTTTTAGACAAAGCAGTATTTCAAGTATATGAGAGTTGAAATTATAATTAATCGTAATCGATTAAAGACTCAACTGTCATTTGTCGACGATCACGAGTGCGTTTGACATCTAGTAGCATCGCAGGCACGACACACTGACAGAAATGATTGGTTATATTATGGTTATAAGTATATAAATTCTTATATACTTGAAGTACTGCTTTATTTTAAAAAATGGTGTGGACTTTTATCACTTAATTTTTTGTCAACTTTGGTGCTGCAATTTATTATCCACGGATTTCGGGACACCCTGTGTAACGTAATATTCTCACACAAAACACAAATATTTTCTTACAGAAAAACAATACAAAAAGATTATATACAACTTACATCGGGTACGAAATGTTTTGGCCTGATACTGGCCAAGAGAGCTAGCCTTTCTGGCAAAGTTTTTGCCTTGTTCATCTGTAGCATTAGAGATCTCATGGGTCGACTATGCCGAATTGGAATATCGGACATAAATTCCACCCCACCTGCCACAATAGCGTCGCAACTGCCACCCAAGATTAAACCTATACCAGTGGTAGCAGCCTGATTGCTGCTAATGCATGCCATGGTTACAGTATGTGCAGGGATTCGATTGCTATATCCCGCGGCAACGGCGACATCTCTCGCGATATTGGAATTTTGTACGTCCTGTATTACTGTACCGTAGGTAATATAATTGATTATCTCCTTGGGAAATCCAATTTTCTCCTGCAAGCTCCTATAAATAAGAAATACTTTACTTTTACAATTAACACTTAAGCGGTTACAACACTCTAGAGTCCACTCCAAAGAAAAAAAGCCAAACTTCGGTGACTTTCTCAGGAATATAATAAACATAAATGAAAATCTATTTAATCCTAATTATTCTCTATACGTTAAACTGTAAAAAACGCACCGACTCTCCACAACCCGCTCCGTCCTTTAGTGTTCTCGAAAATATAACGATCGTTCAGTCTAAACACATTCGGTCAAACACAACCGAATCTGGCCGAAGACACAACAGGCCGAAAGACAAACACAACCGATCGTCTAAACATTATCGCGGGCAAACACTGCTCCAGGTCGGCTTGGAATTAGTAACGCACAACAACAAATATCTTCTAACGAAATTATATAAAACGCCTACAGTAAGGATTAAACAGATTTTCATTTATGTTTATTATATTCTTGAAAACATCATCAAAGATTGGCTCTTTTTGGGTGCTCTAGAGTATTGTAACTCCTTAAAGGCAATGAAAAATTCCAGTATACGTGGATTGATCTTAAAGGCATTTCGGAAATATTTAGAATTACTTCTGTATTCTAATCATAATTATTCACATTGATTGATCAAATTGAGGTTAACTTACACCAACGAATGTCTTGCGAGATCATAAGCCAGAAGATTCTTGTAGTACCAGATAGCAAAAATGGAGTCCGTACTCCATCGACGAATACAATATTATTGGAGGCATCGCTTTTTGTCGAATAAGTCTTGTTTACGAAAATTCCAGAATAGCGAGTGAAGGCTTCTGCGAAAGTAATAAAAAAAGTACTGTGAATATTGACAGTGGCAGTGCACGATATGTAAATGACACATAACTATACAGCGCAAGTAGATGTTATAAGAAGGAGAACATTAATTTGAGTATAAATATACTCTTCTTAATAGGTACTCCAGTGGACTTTGTACTGGCAAATCTGCGTTTAACAATTTAGATGTAACATTTAATTGACTGCAAAAGAAAATTACTCCATACCATAATTAACAATTCCCTGCCCAGTGAGAAATGATTCGTCGATCGACGTCGAAATGATGTCGAATCGACGTCAATTCGACGGTGTCGATGTCGATTCGACGTCGTTTCGACGTCGATCGACGAATCATTTCTCACTGGGTGTCGCGCCGCAAGGCAATTTTTCAGAAGAGGATAAATAACCATGGAATTATATAATAAATATTACCAAAAATAATAATATCTGTACGGAATATGATTACGTATAAATTTTCTATGTTAATATACAACCTTAACCTCTACGGCGTTTATCGACGTGCCACCACGTGCCACTAGCCAGCCATTTTTAGCGTTAGACGTTGAAATCTGAACGTAGACATCTGCGCAGTGTTGCCGACTTCGAATCTTTGCACGGCACTCGGCAGTCGAGCGCGTGGAGGGAGTAGAGTGGGGGTAGCGCTCGGCTTACGTCGGACGCGAAGAAGAGCGCGGACATATCTGCTGTCTCTTTCTCTCCACGCTGTGACGCTAGATCCGAAGAGCGCGGACATATCTGTTGTCTCTTTCTCTCTACACCGTGACGATGGAAGTTCCAGTTTACTAATCCAAGTTCAGTAACTTTTAAGCCCGTATCAGACTACGGATTGGGATTGGGATTAGATTGAAATTTGACCAATCAGAGTAAAAGTTACTGCACTTGAGATTAGTAAACTTTACTGGGATGGTCAAATTTCAATCTAATCCCAATCTCAATCCGTAGTCTGATATGGAGTCCGTAAAAAGAGGGAAAAAAAACCAAGGCGTGCGCGTGCACCTCCCAGGTCGATCACGTGGCCCGAGCGGAGTGCCGATTCGTCATCAGTCGCGCGCGCGAGCCGAGTCAGTCGTGGACTCGTGGTAGTCGTGG